GTATGTATGTATGTATATATAGGTACAACATATGGTTAACATTTTATATATATTGGCGATAAGGTTGTAAACTAAGTCCCAGGATGTAGCGTTCACGACCCCCGGGGTATTCACTGGTACCGCATTAATGTAGACTTGATCTGACGAGAAAATATTAAGGGCTTAAGTTGTTACATACTCGTATTTTGTAAGTCTGTTTATTAGATTTTTTGCGAAAGTAGTCAATCATTAAAGCTATGTTTGTCTCTTGTATCAGCAATACAATGGGGGTTTTAAAGGCCGATACATTACCTATACATTATCTTCTCAGTACTGAATTTGTCGAACGGATTTTTGTTTACAATTTCATTTCCGCGATTAACGAAACTTTTCTTTTCGTCGCGGGAAGATACAAAATCCGATTTTTAGAAGAAACGAAAAAGTTCCTGTCGCCTCTAGCCACGTTTGTATTTTTTAGCCGATTCCTAATCGCTCATCATGATTTACCGGCTTGTCCACATCAGACTGACAGCATAGTTGGCTTCTCGGACAATAAACTTGGCAACGCCAGTAGTTCCTAGAAATCTATTTTCAGTTGAGACATCCAGCTTTGATATTTATATATAACTATTTGGGCGAATGTAATGGCCTTTTAATAGTACAATGCTGTGAACCAGGGGAGTGGGTCAAAGTTTCGCTTATATTAGGGGTATTCTACCATTTGTCGTTGTTACCCGCTCAGGCTGTTCGTTCTGGGATGCTGATGCACATATGGTATGGATGAAGGACGTGTACAAGTATCGTAGGGCAGAAAGCTTACGACTTAAGGGACTACCATAGGTGTCTGAATAGATCCTTGAATAGATCCCGTGGAATCATAATAACGCACATTGAAACTTAGCGATTGTTACATAATACAGAACAAACGCTACAATTAATATGTTAAATGGTATACCAAGTCCTGCTCTAGAGCTAACGAACAATTCATTCATATAGCACGATGAATGAAATGCTACTTCACATAGAATGTAGCATACAGCCTTAGAGAAGGCAGTATAACCCGACACGACAGTCGTAGAGTATAAAAAGTAGCTGAAAGGTACGAGTCAAAGGATTCAATAGACTTCTTCTCAAGTATGGGTATTTCTGCTAGGAAAAGTCCCTAGTCTGAGAGAACCGAACTGAGTCTTTATTTGTGTTTTTTAGTTCACTGGACTCACGTTTCTACTTGAGTGTTTTTCTCACACGCGGAGTCCCGGTATAACTTACCCGTTCTACTGCTAATATCGCTGATGACTCTGATATCAAGAATATTTAAATATTATTTCCAAAACTCAATACTTAAATATTCTAAGGTTTTGGGTTTTGGATTCGGTTGATAATCTGATTCCTAGATGCTACAGCCTCCCAACTTTATGCTACTTAGCCGGCGTAGAAGTAGAAAGCGATATCTTACAGTTCTAGACTATCTAAAGATTGGTGTTTTTGCAAAAGGAAAAACTTGTCCCTTAGGGGCTTAAGATGAAAAACCTGCCACTATTATCTATTCTTACATATTACCATATTGAATAAATATACTGTGACGGGGGTTCTCAGCCGTGCTCATCAAATTCAGTTTGGATCGTTGCTCTCGGTTGATATCAACTTGGCTTGGGAAAAAGCATATCACCAGTGACTCTACAATCAAGTCTTTAGTCCTTATCCCTCTGGCGTGTGGGCGGAGCCTGCTTCAAGGCAAGAAGAGTGGGAGTGTCCCTCGGTATTAAAGTGACTTGGTCAAGTCCCCCCGTCTCGTGCGCTTTCTGTTCCTCGCCGATCTTTCATCAGTGCTCGTTGCTGTTGATTTCTTCGGTGTTGATTGCCTTCGTTTGCGTCGAGTGCGTTGACGGTATAGTGTAAGAACATCAAAATATGCGATGTCTGATTCGTGTGTCCAGGTACGCTCTCTATCTGTCCATTGCAGTAGGTACTCCTGCAAGCCGTCACCTTGGATAAATGGCCTATGGTCGAGTATCGAGGAGAACTGAGTCTTCTCGGATGGTTGTACTTGGCTGTTGGAATTAAATTCATGCGGAGTATTGGCCTTTTTTACGAGTCCAATTAGCTCATCACTGACCGAGTTAGGATATTTGCGCTTCATAATCCCCATCAAGGTTAAGACAAAATACCCGATGCCCTCCCTGTATACCATTCAATATGGTCCGCCATGTGGTGCTGTCATCTTGTTCATTCCACCTTGGCAACGGACCATGAAATGTCCCGTTCCTGGAAGTGTACATACTTCTTTTGGTATTTTCGGTCACATACTGCGCGCATGTTTGCTTGTAG